GAAATTCTCCTTTTTTTTAAATAAATATTAGGTTGAATTATTATACGGCCTTCGATTTAGTCTTTAAACTTAAAAAAATTTTAATTTGATTCTTATTGTTTATCATTTTTACTTTAATTTGATCCTTTCATTAATTTTTCATGTTAATTGACGGACAAACACAAAAAAAGCATTACATGTCATACAAAAATTGACAAGTTGGCAGAAATAGATAGCATGGCCATTCCAACTCATCCTATCCAAAAAAAAATTTTTTTTTTTTCATTCCTCTCTTTCATCTACCTTTTCTTCAATTTTTGTCAATCCTAACATCTCAACCAATTTCTATCTTTGTTGAGTTCATTATCATCATCATCAAACAATAAAACTCACAAAAAAATTATTTAAAAAATTTTTGCTTATGAATTCTTTCAAATCTAGGCGTGCTAGATTCAAAAGAACCTAACGCCTAGGTTCAATTGAACCCAGCAAGCACCCTTTCTTTCTCCTTCCACTTTCTCACCTTGCTTTTTCATCAATCAATTCTCCATTTTCATCAATCAATTCTTCATCATCATCAATCAACAAAACCTCAAAATTTTTTTTTTTAATTTTTTGCCCTTGGGTTCCAAAGGGAAAGAAAAAGAGAAGAGAAGGAAAAAGAATAAAAAAAAAATTTTAAGTTTTATTTAATATTTTTTTATATTATTATTTTTTTCATGTCATCATTTTTTTTGTCTTATTATCTTTCACATATATTAATATTTGACATGTCATTTTTTTATTGTGAAGTAATAGACCACGTCACCAAAATTTTAATAGAATGATCAAATTAAGGTAAAAATAGTAAAAAAAAAGATTAAATTAGATTTTTTTTAAATTTAGAGACTAAATCAGAAGTCTGTACAATAATTTAAAGATTAAAATGAGATTTTAACCTAAATATTATTATATAATTTGGATTATAAAATAATTTTTTTTGTTTTTGATTTTATTTTAAACATTACCTTAAATACTCAGGTGCATACGGTACAACTTGAGTCATGAAAGACAAATCTAATATTGGGTATCCTTAAGCAAAGAAGAAATTTTTTTTTTTTTTTTGTATTAACTTCCTGATTTTTTATAACTACATTAAGTTTCGAATAGTTTAAAATCGAATCGCGTCGAACTCTATTAGAAAAAGTTCTCTCAATATCTGTTTCTTCATTCACAAGATTCAAACTTGAAATATTATTTAAAGAAAATTGAACTCCTTCCACTTAAACTAACAAATCATTAACAAGTAAAGAAAAAATTCGGTACATACCTGGGGACTTAATACTAGGATCTTGAAGAGGAGAGTAGAAACAAATTTGTTAGACTACGAGGTAACAAAAAGTAGTCTGATGGCATTACAAAGTATACTTTTATAACTCATTCGCATCACTTCAAATTAAGAAAATCTACTGCATTGGTTTCCTTTGACACTAGGCATGTCAATTTCTTTCGAGAACTACGAAGCTTCGTGGAGACCATGTTATAGGGAAGGAGACTCTAAAAATATTTTTTTGACGTGGAGTAGTGATGGAGATTTTTTTTTTTCTGAAATTTTGTGAAAAATTGTTTTTCTCGGTTAAGAAACGTAAGAATTTATATATAATAAAAAAATATAAATTTATTATATATATTTATAAATATTTTATCAATTAATTCTTATTGATTTAATTTAATTGATTAATCAAACTTAACTTAAATTACCCAACTTAATTTCTTTTCTAATTCTAATTTTCTCAAATCTAATTCAATAACTCAACTTAATTTTAACATGTATGGTAGTTCATGTATTTTTTTATAAACTTATTACTGGACCTATTAGACATTTATGATAATGTATATTTGTTACAATTATTTACTAAATATTGTTTAGTTGCATTATATGTTGTTGCATTTACTCATTTGAGTTATTTTTAATTTTTATTTAAATAAAATAAAATTTTATCTATTTAATACTTAGTAAAGACTTTAAATACATACAAAAACCAATTATTTCCTACGGATACAATAATAGAAATCATTTTTTACTCCCACTGCAAATTTTCGTGAAAATCTCAATACCCATTATTAACAAAAATGATGATGGAGAGAGGATACCGCACCTATACGACCTGTTGCCATCCTATTTAACATCCACGACCTCGAACGGTAAAAGAAAGAGACTGTTTTTTTTTTTTTTTTGTCCTTTATGTGCAGTCTGGGCTTGTTTAAAAGATTGGAGTTGGACTGTTGTTATTATCAGATTAAGATTGGACTGACAAACTTGGCCCAGTGATCAACGGCCTATGATTTTCATCCCATCACAGATGAACGGCTCCCAAGTCCCAACGTTATCTTCCAAAAATCCAGACCAACGGTCGCGATCCTGCCCAAGAGCACCCAGTGGCAAAGCCCACACACACCCGCATCCCAGGGAAAAAGCACTCCCACCACTTCACAGGCTATAAAAACCCTTCACGAAACACGAACACAATCAACCAATGAACTAGGGGAAAGTACTTACAGCCTTCAGGTTGGAGTAAACGAGGAGGACTAGGTAAAACAGGACACACAAATAGTATCTCTCTCTCCATATCCAATCCAAACACCAGCGCACACAACACTACACCAACGTTATTCTTGTCTCCCCCTGTTCTTCAATCCAAATCTTGTACATACCCTTTTTTTTTTTTCTCAAAATCCTGTTTCTTTTCAGGGACTCCGTTGACCCTCTCCGCTTCTCCCCCAGTCGTTGAGGATTCTCATTTCCAAATCTTTAACTGGTACATCTATTTCTCTCGAGAAAAACCCAAATTTTCTTTTCTTTTGCTTTTTAATTTTGTAGAATGTTGTTGGGTGTCTTGTTGTTTTAAATTTTTTATTACTAGTTCCATTGAGTTTCTCAATTGAATTTGTCATTTTACCCTTTTTTCCGGTTACATAAAAATGTTCTTTTCCATTTCTTTGTGAATAATTTTGGAGTTTTGGGTTCTCTTAAATTCAGAACTTGGGATTTTTTTTTTTTTTTCTGTTTTATAAAATAAAGAAAAAAAGTCTCATCTTTTTTTTGGTAAAGGCCTAAAGTCGTCTGCTTTTGCGACACACAGCAGAACATATGTCTGTATTTTCTTCTTCTTCTTTAAGTTGTCTCCTTTGCACAGATATATTGAACCGGATCCTTCATTTTGTTGCTGAGGAAAGGGAGAAATCTTGAGGAAATTTGGGAGTGCTCATCTCATCCAATCCAAATTCTTTGGCCGGACTAAATTTGGTGAGTTTTGGGATGCATTCTTTAATCCAAATGTTAAAAAGTTAAGATTTCAAAGCCTTAGTTCATCTTATTTTCTTTTTCCATTTTCCCAGCAACCAAACAAAGGCTGATTTGCTCCTTGGTTCTTATTTCTTGCATATATTTGCCTATTTTATAGACTTGTATAGGGATAAGATAGAATAAGGGGCCCATCCAGCCTTACATTCAGCAAATTATGCTTGCCTTTTAAAAAGGGAAATCTTTTCTAATTTGGCAGGATTTGTACCATTGTTGATGCGGGATTAGACTTGGTTTTGATTGAAGTGAAGTAGTGGCATTTTGAGATGGAAGGGGATATATTTTCAGGATTTGGTAATGGAAGCCAAGTAGATACCAAGGTTATCCAAACTTTTCAGAAGAGTTTTGTGCAAGTTCAAGACATCCTAGATCAGAACAGGCTGCTAATCAATGAGATAAACCAGAACCATGAATCAAAGATCCCTGATAACCTGGGTCGAAATGTGGGTTTAATTAGAGAACTGAATAACAACATCAGGAGAGTAGTTGGTCTCTATGCAGATCTCTCAAGCTCGTTCACCAGATCAGTGGAAACTTCATCTGAGGGAGAATCAACTGGACCAATTAGATCGGATGGAAAAGCCAGTCAGAAGAGAATTAGATCCGGGTAATTGACCAAGACCAAGATAGATGAGCTTTCGTATAAATTCTACTCCTTTTCACCGTGGAATAAGAAGGTTTTCTTTTTTCTTTTTTCTTTTTTCTTCTTTCTTCTTTCTTTCTTTTTAACATACCGAAGGGAAAGAACTTGTTTAGATTCTGTCAATGAATGAGTGATATGCATCTGAAGTTTAGAGCTTTAGTATAAGCACTCACCTTATGAATTGAAATAACCTTGAACAATTTACCTTTTGTAATCTTGTATAACCATATCATCTCATTGAAATCAAGCGTCAGTTTCTTTTATTTATCTGCTCACCCGAGTTATTGTCTGCTTGGCCAATACAATGTACTTATTCTGTTAGTGCCTTTGGGTTATATCATCTGTTCTTGGTGCTAATCCTTTTGATTATTCTTTGATGGATCTAGCGTGAGCACATAGCGTGTTTCATTTAAAAACAATTTTGAAAGATGAATTCAGTTCTGCCGATATTGTTCTTTGTTAGAGATGATAAATCTTTGATGGGGACTTTCAACAACCCACTTTATTCTTTTCCCATGTTTGTCAAAAGAGATTCCTTATTATGTCTGTACCCCAGTTGAAGATTTTTGTGAAAAATTGGTATATACCATTTTTCATTGATGTCAATTTATATTAGTTAAGATGCTTATGTTCATGATTCTCCTAGCTTTATAGTTATCTATGTGGGGGAATTGAGTAAAATAACAGGCACTTCTTTGATGACCTTGAGAAATTATTGGCCTTTTGGGTTGAAGATGCTGTGTCACAATTGAAGAAAGCAACTTTGAGTAAAATCTCATTTGTGACTTTGATTTATTATGCTTTTGACTGGCTTTTTTTTGTCCGAATTAGTATCAACCGCTTGGCTCCAAACAAACAACATAGTTTATGATAAGCCAAGATGCTATCCGAGGCAGTTTAAGTGAAAGCATCAGTGCTTCAAGAAAGGGAAAGATGATCAGGAAACAGAAAAGGGCCCAATGGGTCTTCTTTTAGAGGTGTTAGGTTTCTTGCTTCTAATTTTTTATTTCAAAGTTGTAATCTTGTATTTGCCATTGCAATTTGATGATGTCACATAGAAGTTTGTTTTGAACACAAGCATTTTTGTAGGTGGACCCTCTGGCTTTTGTTTTCAACTTTTCATTTCTTCTTGGAAGTACTCATTAGTTTTCTGATTTGAGTGAAGGACTCATGTGGGAGATTACTATGAGCAGCTGGTTTTTGTTTTGCATTCTAAACATTGTTGGCTTGAGTGTCACTCCAATTATTGTAAATATATCGAAGGGTTTATTTATTTTATGCTTTTAGAGCATATGATAAAAAAAATAATTATTATGTAAATATTATTATTGTTATTTTAAAAAAATATAATTAATTTTTATTTTAATTGTAAATATCATATATTATTTATTTATTTATTTATTTTAAAATCAAAATTAAAATTTATTTTTAATTTAAAATTCTTTTTAAAAAATAACAATTATTAATTAATAGTTATTTTTTATATTATGCCGACAAACCCTATATCAAAATATCACAACTCTTAACTTTCCTGTCCTCCTTTCTCTGCCGATATAATTGACTCTTTATTTTCTAGGCAACCAAACAATGATGTGTTGTTTCTAGCTTCTGGAAATTTTCACTAATTCAAACAAGAAATGAGTGTCATCTTAAACTACTGAGATCAATCTGGCTGTAGCTAGCGTGAGTCGAACACAAAACTTAATGGTCTCTGAGCTCTTGAGCGTGAGACATGATCCAAGGGAGCGGAATGACTGCTTCTTGCTAAAGCTTTTAGATTGAATGGTTCTTGAGTTTCTCAGATCTTCACCTAGATTAGCACTTTCTAGCACGTTGTGGGGTAAGCCACGACCTGGATTGTAATGCCATATGCATTATACTCCCTCTGTTCCTTATTGTTTGTCGTTTTAAAGATTAAAATTTGTTTCTACATATTTGTCGTTTTAGAACTTTTATACAATATTAATTTTTTTTCTTTCAAATTTACCCTTCTTACTTACTTGTAATAAGTACAAAAACCAGAATTAAAAAAAAGAAAAAGAAAAAAAGAAATGAATGCATTTGTCCGTGATAAATGGTAAAGCATTAGAAGGGTAAAATTGTATTTTAAATTCATTTGTCCTTAAAATTAAGAGTAATTAATTGATTTCCTTAATCCTCGTAAAATCAGTTAAAACGATTATTAATACGGAATAGAGGGAGTACATTAATTTTACATTTATCTTGTATTTTTGCTTCCTCTCTCCCTGTCTTATTTTGATGATGCATGAAAAAGGGTGAATTCCTACTTCTCACATTCCATTATAATATGTTTAGTTTAAGAAAAATTAAGAAAAAAAAGAATTTTTTTAATTAAGTAAATCATAAAATTATTAAATATTATATTTAATTAATTAAAAAATTTTACTTTTTTCCATTTCCCTAATTCAAACAAATTATTAACTAGATGGCTAGACGACCCAGTCAAACCTGCCCATCTGTGACCAAAAAATGATTTAATTAAAAATATTAACTATAATTTGATAAAGTTTTATAAAGAAAAAGTTGCCTTAAAACAGTTATGGATGGGTTATTGTTATACTTTAAATAATTAATATCATATATTTTTAATATAATTATCTATTATATATTTAATTACACTTTTTTTTAAAAAAATTATTTTTTTTAATAAATAAAAAAATTATTTTTTTTAATAAATTAAAAAATATAACATTTAATTAAAATAAAAAAATATGACATTAATAAAAATAAAAAAATATGACATTAATAATTGAAAATACGATAATAACATCACCCAACAACAGTTACTAGCGTCAATCCAATGTATGGTCTCCCACAACGCCAAAGCATTTTTGAGAGTAAACATGAGGTGTTATGGAATAAATACATTGTAAGCAACTATAACAATCTACTAAGCCACCAACGAGGGGTTGGATCAAGTGGTAAGCTGTTTCTTTTAGTTTAAGCAAGATTTCGAGTTTGAGGTATTGTATACGCAGTAACTTTCGTTGGGAGACTCACCCACCATTTTCAGGTGCGCAACGCAGGTCGAGTCCGAATTTTTCAGGGCAAAACCCCGAATACGATGAGAAACCAAAAAAAAAAGAAAAAAACAATCTAGTAAGCCAACGACATGTTAATTTGAAAATGAGGAATTTGATTTTTTTAAAATAAAATTTTGAGTTTAAATCTAATAAATGGAGAAATAAATACTAAAAAAGCTTTTTTTTTTTTCTTATCAAATTCGATACAACTTGACTTAAATTTATTAAAATCGAATGTAATTTTTAAATACTAAACGATTTAATAAAAAAATTTAGAAAAAAATTGGGCTATCTTAATATCTGTTTTAGTAATGAAAAAAAAAAAAAATATATATATATATATATATATATATAAAGAGAAAGAACTTAGGGTCATCGAGCTGTCAGTTTTTTTATTGATTTTTTTAAAACGCTCAAACATGCATTTTTTGAATACTTGAGCATATAATTTACGAGAAGTGAATGGTTTTAACTTATGGTCCAATATCATTGATTTAAATGAGTTGTTTGTAAATTCTTTTATTAATTGTGATAATTATTCCCCTAATACGATATAACTTCTTGCCCTATGTCGTGATGATTGAGTTGTTAAATTCTATAATATAGTTAAGTGACAAAATCTTTTCTTAAAAAAAAAAAAAAAGAGAAAATCCCACATTATTTAAATAATAAAAATTTTGGATTTCTAATATACTATAAACAATATGGACTCAATTGATAAAATTAATAATGTCAAGTAAAAATATGAATAATTGAATGGATTTTTAATAAAACAATTCCATCCTAATATTTCGCAAGGCTGCTCTGTTATTTCTTCTTTCGGTTAGACTAGTTCCATAGAAAAATTACTCTTGCTTCACTTTCTTCCCCGCAAACCAAATAAGAAATAAAATAATTTTGATTTTAAAACAAATAAAAAGATAAAATTTATTTAAAATGTTAAGTTATCTAGTTTTATTAACATAATAAATAAAATTTACTGTCTATTTGGTTGAACCCTTCTCCAAAAAAATAAAAATAAAAATTCGGAGAAGCTAACCAAAAAGTATTTAGACTTGCTTAGAAAAATAAATTTCTTGGCATGCAACCCCAAACATAATATAATTAATGGTATTTGTAATATAATTGATTACAAAAGAAAAATAAGTGATTATATAAATATAATCAATTATTTTTTTAATCAATTATGTTATTTTTCTTTAAAAAAAAACCTCGTAAAATAACTTTTCCATGAAAGTGGTAATATAATTGATTACTTTCTTATTATAATTAATTATATTATACTTCAATTTGCTGGTCATGAAATTTATTTTCCTAAACGAAACTTAAGTACTTTCTAGTCAGTTTCTCTGCATTCTTTTTTTGGAAAAGGTTTCAACTAAATAAGTTTTAAAAAATGTAAGAGTA